CCCCTGAAAACAGTCTCTTACTTACAGAAGATCCTTGTCCTGTCCACCCCTGACAACAGTCTCTTACTTACAGAAGATCCTTGTCCTGTTGACCCCTCACAACAGTCTCTTACTTACAGAAGATCCTTGTCCTGTTCACCCCTGAAAACAGTCTCTTACTTACAGAAGATCCTTGTCCTGTCCACCCCTGACAACAGTCTCTTACTTACAGAAGATCCTTGTCTTGTCCACCCCTGAAAACAGTCTCTTACTTACAGAAGATCCTTGTCCTGTTGACCCCTCACAACAGTCTCTTACTTACAGAAGATCCTGGTCCTGTCTACCCCTGACAACAGTGTCTTATGTACAGAAGATCCTTGTCCTGTCTACCCCTGACAACAGTCTCTTACTGACAGAAGATCCTGGTCCTGTCCACCCCTGACAACAGTCTTACTTACAGAAGATCCTGGGCTTGTCCACCCCTGATAACAGTCTTACTTACAGAAGATCCTGGTCTTGTACACCCTTGTTGTTGGTTCATATAAGGCCTATTCTTGCAAGTGACAAACTTCTCACTCTGTTAATCTTTCTTTGTTTATAAGTACCACTTCCCACCTTGTGTTTCTCTGTAAGTAGCAGCATATGGACAGATGTCCACATACTTTCTGTAAGTAGCATCATTTAGACAGATGTCCACCATATTATAACAGAACGTTCATGAAGTGTAGCTACTGTCTACCCACAGTTAATATTTGTAGGTCCTCGATTGTCAAAATAGATTTTGAAATGTGAGTAGATTTAGCAGTGTGCAAGATAAAATGTAACAGCACGTAAGATAAAAATTATTTTCTTATGTAAACTAGAAACAAAAATGTGAAAGGAAAATTGTATGTTGGTATTAGGTGTAATATTACATCATAAATTATAAGAATTAATGTTTTTAAACTGATATAAAAGTCATTTCAACTCTGGTTTTATTTATTGTAAACTAGTGAGGCCATTGAGATTTATATGGAGATAAAAGCTGTGTCAGTATCAATAGCTTTTAGTTTTGACATTATTTATACAAGAAATGTTTTGATTACTGTGATTTTTTGCTTCAGATATGTGTCTTGTGCTCTGGGATGTCCTTACGAAGGAAATGTTAAGCCCCGTGTCGTGGCAGAAGTATGTATTCTATGAATATGATAATTTCTATTATAAGGTTTGAAGAAAAGTATCAAGTAAGGCTCATATATACAAAGAAAAGAAAAATTGAAAGGGACAAAATATATATATATTATTCAGTGGAAAATAAAACTGATGACTTGTTTAAAGAAACAAAATTTAATAAAAAGTTTTCACCTTCTCAGTAGATCTTTTGTGTGGTATCTAGCAAAAAGATTACCCCACCTGTCAATAAATCTGATGTAGTTGCTCTCTCAGAACTGTGCATTCATTTTCTGGTAAGTTTTCGTATAATATAAACCAACATTGCATTTCTGTTAGACTGGTAAAATGTGTTTCATTATATTCATGCACAACTTATACAACACTTTGTATAAGACATTTACTAATAAAAGTTGTATTAAAAACTCCCTGGAAAGTGTTTCTCCCATGTTTTTTATAACACTTATCAAATATACATCTGTGTAATAAACAAATGGCCAAACTGCTCTTGTACACATATATTTATGCATGAAAAATGATTTTGTAGTTGTTCTATTGAAGATAAGAAGATGATTGTGTGATATTGGAGATGAATATTGTTTGATTGTATGGCTGTTCAATTGAAGGATTAAGAGATTGTTTACAGAAGATGAGTATTGGTTTTATGATTGTATGGTTGTTAAATTAAAGGATTAAGAGATTGTTTACAGAAGATGAGTATTGGTTTTATGATTGTATGGTTGTTAAATTAAAGGATTAAGAGATTGTTTACAGA